CAGAGGGATAGAGAAACCCCAGACCCCTTCTGGGTCTGCCTCCTAGAAACCATGGGGGCATTTGCCCATTTAGATTTAAAGTGCCAAACGGACCAAAAAATTCTAGCCTCTGCCTTCTTGGATCAATTGGAAAGTGACATCTGTGGGCACCTTCATAAAATAGCCTCTAACTGGTCGGCAATAGAAATCTCAGAGTTGCATAGAATCACAAACTTTGTGTTCGACTAGACGGAAAAATTGGTCGAAGAAGAAAAGGAAAGAAAGGAAGCAGAAAAGAGAGAGAGAGAGAAAGAAAAGAGACGTAGAGCAGAAAGAAGGGAGGACTTACAAGCCTTTGCAATATTAAACGAGGATAGTAGGCAAAGACAACACCAACCCCAATCCAGCAAAGAAAAAGATGCCGGCAATGCGAACATAACAGGGATTTTTTTTTTTGCAGGCATTGCCTCCAGTGTGGGAGACAGGGACATTTTAGCAAAAATTGCTGGGATAGCCAAAACAAGGAGAGCCGGAAGTGAGTTTTGCCTCATCTTACAAACTTTATTCCCACAGTTATTAAGTGAATCACTGCAGCTCTTAAGTTATTCTTATGGCTGTTAAGTGAATCTGGCTTCCCCCATTTGACTTTGCTTATCACAAAAGGAGATCATGTGACTCTGGAACACGCAAAGGTCGTAAATAGGAGCCAGTTGCCAAGAGTCTGAATTTTGATCACATGACCATGGGGATGCCCAAATGGTCGTAAGTGAGAAAAATGGTCATAAGTCAAAACCCTATAAACCTCCACTTCTCCCTTTAGCGAAGAGTTTCAATTCTGTTTCTTATTTTTCCTTTTGTTTTATATTATTGTTGAGCTTTAAAGCTGTGTTCTTCTCATCTCTTTTATTTAAATTATTTCATCGCCTGCCCTGTTTTGAAATAACTTGGCCAGAAGTCAGGAACTGTGGAATTCTGAGTCATCCCTGCCAGGAAAAATAACAAAATTCACTTGCAAACATAAAATGAATTTCTGTTTGGAAGTGAATTTGGGTGCCTTGGGGATCTGATGGAAAAAATAATTATTATTACAATGGTGAAGCAGAAATAATAACTATAGGTAGTCCTCCACTTAGGACTGCTTGATTAGGGACCGTTCAAAGTTACAATGGTGCTAAAAAAAAGTGACTTGTGACCATTTTTCACACTTATGACCGTTGCAGCATCCCCAATGGGGCAAAACTCACTTAACAACCATCCCACTTAGCAATGGAAATTTGGGGCTCGGTTGTGGTCTTAAGTCGAGGACTGTCCATATAAAACCAGAATTGATGGTTTGATTCTGTCCACTCAAAAAGGGCTCATCGCCTAGTGACCACATAAACAGAATGCAGAATAACAGAGTTGGAAGGGACCTTGGGGGTCATCTAGTCCAACCCGCTGCTCAAGCAGGAATCTCTGTTCCACTCTGGACAAATGGCTGTCCAATCTCTTCTTAAAAACCTCCAGTGATTTAGAAAGCTTTTTGGCTGCCCTTGAGCATGGCTTTTAAAAACAAACTGTAAAGGGGTGGGTATTTATTTTCTTTTTCCTTAGCTTTTCATTGGAAAAAAATATAAAATTTTGCAATCTCTATCATTGTCATGTTTTTACTAGCTCAGCAAAAATGATACTTCGGTCAATGTTTGCCATAGCCAAAGTTCACTTTTCTTCATGTTTCCTCTGTCCACATCTGATAAAAACAAGGGCACAGACCTTGGTTGTGACCTTCAGACAAGCAAAGCCAATGGTGAAGCCACATTCACTTAACAATCAGGTTACCAACTAATCAACTGCAGTGATTCACTTAGCAACTTTGGCAAGAAAAATCATAAAATGGGGCAAAATTCACTTAACATATGTCTCACTTAGCAACAGAGATTTTGGGGTCAATTGTGGTCCTGAGTTGAGGACTAGCTGCATTTTTGCTACCCACAAAGGCAGAATCCCTTATCTGGAATTCCTCTGTCTGCTCAAAAGCCCCTTGGCACATTTCACTAGGAACCTCAGATCAACAACTTTGGAAAGCTGAAATTGAACAGAAAAGAAAGGAAAGAAAAACAATTTGGGAGGGTTAATTTTAAGAAGGCTTCTGGAATTAATACAGAGAGACAGACAGAGAGAGAGAGAGAGAGAGAGAGAGAGAGAGATATCGTTTCCATAACATAGAAATAAACAGTTCACTGGTGAGATATCCCTGGTTATCCTAGATTATCGTGTGAAATCTAAGTGTGCCAAAAAAAAAGGAGTTACCGACATGCACACACACACAATCACACGCATACAATCACACCCACAATCACACACACACACACACACACAATCTGATTCCATAACATAGAGACAAATTAGTTCACCAGTGACATAACCTCTGGTTATCCTTGATTATCATGTACAAGCTAAGTGTGCACAAATAAAGAATAGGTTTAACACACATACACACACACACACACAGAGTGTTTCCATAACATTATAGTTCACTGGTGAGATATTCCTGGTTATCCTAGATTGTGCGCACAAGGAAAAGAAGTTCACACACACACACACACACACACACACACACAATCATACACACAGAGAATCTGATTCCATAACATAGATAAATTAATATACTAGTGACATGTCCTGATTATCCTAGATGTGTGCAAGCTAAGTGTGAAAAACAAAGAAAGGGGTAGCACACAAACACACACATACGCACATATACACACAAAGAGACAGAGAAGGGGGGAAGAGAGAGGGAGAGAAAGGGAGAGGGAATGATTCAATTATGTAGAGATAAACCAGTTCACCAGTGAAATGTCACCGGTTATTCTGGATCATCGTGTGCAGATCGCAGCCTTGGCCTTTAGCACTGGCATCGGTACCTAAATTGGACGTCATTCATGGGTTGTATCACCCCAAACCCGTAGCGGGTCTTGTCGATGGGAGGGATCTCCTCCTGGTGATTGATCAGTTCCAGATCAAAACAAGCCAGCATCAGGAAGGTGAAAAGCTTGATTTCATTGGTAGCAAAGTAGCGGCCGGGACACATGGAGGTCCCAGCTCCAAAAGGCATGGCGAAATATTTCACCTTCTCGCCATTCTTAAAAAATTCCTTTTTGTTGCCGTTTTGGCTGAGGAAACGGTCGTATTTGAAGACCTGGGGCTCCGGATGGATTTTGGGGTCCATGTGGACTGAGAGGTAAGGAAAGAGGCCGATTTTGTCACCTTTACGCAGCAGATAAGCCTTCCCATTGTGGAGCTTCAAATCCATATCTTGTAAAACCACACGGATCAAAAATGACGTTGATACCAATCTCAACATCTCTTCCAAAGCGCTGTCCAGGATGGGTGTTTGGTTTAGCATCTCCTTGGTGACATTCAAGGGCTTCTCATGGGAGGTCACCTCTTGGCCTGACTTCTTCACCACCTCCAGGATCTCCTTCTTGACCTCTTCCATGGCTTTGGGATGCTTCATCAGGTATTCCAGAAGCCAGAAGGAAGCTGGACTGAGGCTACCTAGAGCAAGATAAAGGAGCAGGAACATGTACCGGTCTGTCATCTCTTCTGAAATCCCACTTTCGGCCAGCTGTTGAGCCTGGTCACTGATCCACCGGCTGGTGTTTTCCTTCTGGTAGATGTTCTTCACTGAAAGCACCTGCCAGAAGTAGTTCCAGAGGTTCTTCATTTGGCCCCACTCCCACGGGGTCAACAAGGCGTACGATAGGCGTGGGAAGAGTTTGTCGTATTTGCAAAATTCAATGTACAACTCTTCAGTGTGATGCTGGTCTTTTCGTTTCACCTTTTCTTTCTGGTTTTCACCTTTAGCTGATTCAGTACCGTACAAAGCCAGATACCCAGCTCGGAAGACCGTGTTGTAACAGAAGTGGAACAAGCCGTCTTCTTTCCAGGA